TCACAGAAAGGATATACATTTGTTTCTACCAGTTTCCTTGAAGTCACCCCTCTGCTTGAATTGTTTCAGGCCATATGCACAGTGCGATTTCAGACTTCAAATTCATCTGAGCACCAGCTACGGTTATGATTTCTCAGGAAATATCTTCTCTCTTTACTCAGCTCCAGTGTCAAAATAGCCAGGTTTTTTCACAGTCCCTGTCACGTAGTGGATTATTTCTTATTCATGCTTCTGCTGTGGTCCCTTATTTTTAACAATCATATAGTGTTTACTACGTGCCAGGTATTGTTTTAAAAACTTTAAATATATTAACTAATTTAATGCTCTGAGCGACCTTATGAGATAGATACTATTATTATCCTCATCTCACAGATGAAGAAACTGAGGCATAGAGAGGAAGAGTCACACCGCTACAGGTCACCCAGCTAAAAGGTGGAAGAGTTGGTATTTATTTAAACATAGGCAGTCTAGATCCAGAGTCTATGTTCATAAGCACTGGGTTGAACTCTTCTGGGATTTATTTGCGTGAATGTGTGTCAATCTCATGCTGTTGTTCTATTAAGCTTCTTTCTATTAAGAGTCCACGGTTAGGATTCCTACCCTACATGGTCCCTAGAGTTTATCTCCTGCTCGTTATATCCTGTGCAGCCATCAAGCTGTTTTGGTGCTTAGTTAACTTCTAGAGTTTATCGTTTCTATTCATTTGAGCCCTTCCTTTAATGTCAGTGTGGCAACCTACTAATTTTTTTATTCAGTATTTTAATTATTTCAACTAAGAATGTTGTTTGAGATAATTAATCTGCTATATTTTCAGAAGTAGAAGTTGCCTCTCCTCTCAAAAAAAAAAAAAAATTTTTTTTTTTCTAAATGCTTCCCATTCCCACCAGTGCTGACTTAATTTCTGGCCCAGGCTTCTCCTGGCCTCTAACCTCACAATGACATTTTGAGTGGTGACTTTTTGAGATTAGCTCACAGGTACCATTCAAGTACAGTCCCTCCTTTTCAGGATAAGGTTGACACACATTCACTTGAACAAATGAATGTTTTGATACAAGCTATTTGTGGTCAATAATAAATATACATGTCAACAATGTCTATTGATCTACATGTTTCCTCCAATTAAATACATAAATATGTATATTTAAACTTCTACCTTAACAGTCTTTGAGTAGAAGTAAACTGTTTGATGTTTTTGTTTTCTTTTGCCTCCATACTAGAAGTAATAAATGGTATCTAGGAACACTAGATATTTTTATCTTGGGATTATTTTTACTATTAGATTTCCAATTTAAAAGTCATTACAAACTCTATAGAAAAGTAAAAATGGTAAAGATAAGAGGGGAGATAGAAAATAGTTTTATGATTTATCAAGATAGATCAGAATTTCATCATTTTAAATTCTCGATAAAATGCGTAAGTCAGTATCCACAGTATGCTGAGATATGGCACCACATTAATTGTTTCAGAAATATAATTAATCCTCTATATCCTTTGGAGTCAACTCCTAATTTGTTTATTTTAGAAGTAAATAAATGTTCTGATTCCTTCAGAGAAAAGGGATCTTGCTAAAGAACATAACCAGCCACGTACTTCATTTAGAATATCTGATTTTCCTGGAACTTCATCTTTAAGAGGTCAATATCTGAGGTATATTAGATCTCATGAATAAGGAGAAAACAAGAGTCTGGAATTATTCCATTTAATTTGGGTTTATATTAACTGTTCCATAACAGAATTTTTGTCAGATTTTGCTATCATAAATAAT